GAGGTATTTCTGTGGCAGAAGGAATGGCGTTTAATCCAAAGCCTAAGGAAGGAGTAGGAGTTAGCCAGGTGAGAGAAGAGGGATGGGGGCGAGGATGTGAGGTGGGGGACATCGAGATGTGTGTTCAGGACAGCGAAACCCACGTGCAGAGGTCTAGAGGTGAGAGAAAATGACTCTTTGTAGAAACGTCTCAAAACAGGACTAGAAGAGAGAGAGAGTGCCTGAGTGTTAAGGGAAGAAGGGAAGGTGTTGGGCAGACGGGAAGTAGGATGGGCAGGTCCAGGGCCGCAGGTGGCCTTGTAAGTTACTTCAAAGAGTTGAACTTTCTTCTGAGGAGACTGTAGGGCTTTTCAAAGTTTTAACCACACCAGAGAAATGATCAGGTTTGTATTTAGAGAGATCACTTTCAGTGGAGAGTTAGACACAAGTGAGAACTGTGTGGTCTATGACCGGGGCTAGGGTGATGACCGTGAGGGGAAAGAGAAATGGTGACTTTGAGACCTAGTGGGAAGGCGGGGTGATACCATGTGTAATAATTTTTATAAACTCAGTTTTTTAAATATATGGAGAAATTGAAAGAATATTACCTGTAACACCTTATTTTGATCATGGTCAACTTTTTGGCAGGTTTGCTCTATCTCTGTTCCTATTACTTTAGCTATAATTTGCTTGGTTCCTTTAAGTAAATCTCCACTGTGTTGTTCAGAAAGATATTCTTAAATCTTGGCCACTTACTAACATCAAGAATTTGGCCAAATATCTTTTTTTTTTTTTTTAAGACAGGGTCTTGCTCTGTCTTCCAGGCTGGAGTATCATGATAGCTGACCGCAACCTCAAACTCCTAGGCTCAGGGGAGCCTCCTGTCTCAGCCTCCTGAGTAGCTGGGACTACAGGTGTGCAACATCATGCCCAGCTAATTTTTCTACTTTTTTTTGTAGAGATGGGGGCTTGTTCTTGCCCAGGCTGGTCTCAAACTTCTGGCCTCAAGCAATCCTCCCACCTCGGCCTCCCAGCGTGCTAGGATTATAGGTGTGAGCCACTGTGCCAGGCCTTGGCCAAATTTCTTAATCCTACTGCACATGAGCTTCCTCATCTGAAACAATGATGCTGCCTTCTACGATGACTGTGAGGTCTCAGTAGGATAATAAATGATAGACACCAACTCTGTGGATTTAGTGGTTTGTGTAACTGAGGAACCCAGAGTCAGAGGTAGATTTCAGGCTTGGCTGGATCCAGGGGCTCACCATTTATTCTCTTTTCCTGTCTGTGGACTTCATCAGATTATAGTTAAAAGGCCACTAATATTCGAGCTCACATCTTGACCTCTAATCAAACCAGTGGAAACATCTGTTCCCCTGGTTCCCCTAGATTTAGTTAGACCAGGGTTATGTAGTTTTGCTAATTACTAAGTCCAGGGTGTTTGAAAAATCTGGGCAAGGTTGATCAAGTGCCACACCTAGAGGGATGATGTTGGGAATTTGAGGGCACCGTCTGTATCATATGGAGAAGTAAGGATGCTTTCTCTCAAGCAAGGGGGTGAGGCTGCAAAACACAAGAACAAAAAAACAAAAAACATGAAAATTTAAACATTAAATAATTGATAGCAAACATTATTATTGCTACATTTTGGGATCTTTGATAGTTGCTACCTTTTCCCACCTCCACCCACCCTAGAAATTTTGAATTTTTAAATGGCTTCTGGTCTGTCTCTTTCTGCTATTTGCCCTCCAAATGGAGTGGGCAGAGTTCCTTTGTTCTCTGCACCGGATGTTAATACTTGGCCTGGGTACCGGCAGATTCACTCTACCAGGCTAATAGATCTTAACCTGCGTTTTCCCAGAAGCAGAGGTTGAGATGAAGTGTCAGTTCAGATGATTTGTTTGGGAGGTATCCCAGAAGCTCTGCTAGTTGGAGTCGGACAGTGAGAGGCAGTTTCTGCTGCAGGCAGCAGGCGCCAGGGACTGTTGGGAGCTAGTGAGGAGCACACCTCAGAACCCCAGCTCGCAGAAGCTTGGGTGTTCTCCTACTTCCTTCCCTCACTGGGTGAGAGGGCTCCTCCCAGGGCCATTCACATCCTTCACCTCTCACCTCTGTGAATTGACTCTCAGGAGGTGACCAAGAGAAAGCCTGCCTGGGGAGAGTTGCATGCACAAGGACAAGCATGAGCACTGCCTCCTATCAGTGTGTGCCGTGTTGGCCACTTGGGCCCTGAGGAAGGTACCTGGGGTTGAAGGATGCTGGGGCCATGGCATTCACAGCAGGGGACTTATTCTCTGTGTGATTTTCCTCTTTCTGTTGAAATTCTATATTAAGGACTGTCTTTTTACTCTAAGCTAAGAGGAAAATTTAAAAGCTGGTTGTAAGTCCAGAGAGAAGGGTAGGATTTGTGAGTTTACCTGAATATCTTCCGAGATGTTTTATGACCGTCTAAATATATTTGGTGAAGCTTCCTGGCCTTTTTCAGATGTTTTCAGTTACTTTATTTAGAAAATGTCTTAGAGGCTAGGGT